TACCTAGTTATGAATAAACCTTACCAGGTAGACAAAAGACCTGTACTCAGAAAACTACAGAACACTGGAGAGAGAAATCAAAGAAGACACAAATAAATGGAAGCATATACCATGTTCATGGATGGAAAGATCTAACATCATCAAAATGTCCGTACTACCAAAAGCAATTTATAGATTCAGTGCAATCCCTATTAAAATACCAATGATATATTTCGCGGATATAGAACAAATATTTCAAAAATTTATATGGAACCATAAATGACCCTGAATAGCCTCAGCAATTTTGAGAAAGAAAAACAAAGTAGGAGGATCACAGTACCTTATATCAAATTATACTATAAGGTCACTGTAATCAAAGCAGTCTGGAGCTGGCATAAAAACAGACACATAGAACAATGGAACAGAATAGAGAGCCCAGAAATAAATAAACCCATGTCTCTATGGTCAATTAATATTGGACAAGGTGGGGCAGGAGCATAAAATGGAGTAAAAATAGCTTCTCTTACACCATACACCAAAATAAACTCAAGATGAATGAAAGACTTAAATATAAGCTGTGACACCATAAAAACCCTGGAGGAAAACGCTAGCAAGAAAATTTCAGATATCCCATGCAGCAATATTTTCACCAATATATCCCCTTGGGCAAGGGATATAAAGGAAAGAATAAACAAGTGGGACTTCATCAAACTGAAAAGCTTCTGCATGGCTAAAGAAAACATCATCGAAATGGAAAGGGAATCAATAGTATGGGAAAACATATTTGCCAATGATACCTCAGACAAGGGTTTGATCTCCAAAATATATAAAGATCTCACAGGACTCCACATCAGGAAGACAAGCAAAACAATTAAAAAATGGGCAAAGGACCGGAACAGACGCTTCTCCACAGAGGACATAATGAAGGCCCATAGACACATGAAAAAAATGCTCGACATCACTAGCCATTAGAGAGATGCAAATTAAAACCACAATCAGCTACCACTTCAAACCAGTCAGAATGGCCATCATAAACAAATCAACAAACAACAAGTGCTAGAGAGGCTGTGGAGAAAAGGGAACCCTAGTCCACTGTTGGTGGGAATGCAGACTGGTGCAGCCATGTAGGAAACAGTGTGGGATTTCCTCAAAAAACTAATGATAGAGCTGCCTTTCGATCCAGCAATCCCACTGCTGGGCTTATACACTGAGAATCCCGAAACACCAATTCAAAAAAACCTATGCACCCCAATGTTCATAGCCGTACAATTTACAATAATAGCCAAGTGTCAGAAATAGCCTAGGTGCATATCAGTAAATGCGTAAATCAAAAAACTATGGTTCATTTACACAATGGAATACTACACAGCAGAAAAGAAGAAGGAACTCCACCCCTCACGACAGCATGGATGGAACTGGAGAGCATTATGCTCAGTGAAATAAGCCAGGCGGTGAAAGACAAATACCCTATGATCACACCTATAAATAGAACCTAATCAACAAAATGAATGAGCAAAAGAGAACCAAAGACTTGGAATAAAAAACAAGTTGACAGTTACCAGAGGGAAGGGGAGAGGGAGACAACAGGGGAAAAAGGGGAAGGGGCAAGCAACGGAACAGGAAGGGCTCACGGGCACGGACAGTGGGCGTGCTTGCCTGCGGGAGTGTGGGTGACGGGGCAGGGCGGGCAGTGGGGGAAACCGGTGCGACAGCCGTAACTGAACGATAAATTAAAAAAATGTTAAAAATAAAATCACACACAAAAAAGAGATTTGGATGTTAACATTTTTAAAATGAGCTTAGTATCAAGTCACAAGCTCATGAAAATGGTTTATGGAATGCACCAAATCTAAAAAGTCCCATTATGGACATTATCGTAATTAGCATTAAAGAACTTAACAATCTAAAATGTGCTAAAACCTTGAATTTTTCATCTACATATTACTTAATTTTATAATGAAAAGTATCCTTTTTCTTACATTTTATATATATATGTGTATGTAACTTTTTTCTAAGAACGGTTTCAAAATGTTTATTTTTAATTGAAATTACTGAGGTGACATTGGTTAATAAAATCAGAAAAAGAAAACCATTTTGATCATTTCAATTCTCCTTATCTTTTTCAGATATACTATCCTTCTTATGCTCTCTACCCTAAGCACAACAAATTATTTCTGTAGATATTTCCTATTTTGTTTCTAAAATGTCTCCAAATAATACTCATCAGGCTCTTGGCATTTACTTTTTTTCTTCATTATAATGAAAATATTCTTCCTAATCGACCTGTACATACTGTTGGGTGACTACTTAAAATTTTTTGGTCTCAGAGTGCTGCACTTAATTTTGTTTTGATCAAGATGTGTTCAGCAATATATACCTCCTGCAACAATTCTGTTACTCGCTCAAAATTTTCATTCATTTCTTTCCTTTACGTATCTTTAAAGTATCTGTTCACCAAAGCAGTTACTTTATCTGCAAAACTCTCACCTAATCAATTTATCATGAGTATTCTGTCACTATATGTCTAGGCAGTGAAAAGTTCTATTACTGTCTGGTCTTGTTTTAACCATACTTTAGACTCATTTAACATGTATACATCTGTCTCAAGGTGATACTACTTGTTGATTAACTTGTTAGAATAAATTAACTCATTCTGAGCCTATGAATAAAACCTGGGGTTATAATTTGTTTCCATACAAGCCCAGGGCTGATGTGGTCTGAATATGATCAAGTCTGATGGATGGCTTCAACGTCTTAAGTTTATTCTGAGTCAGCAAAAAACAACCCGGCAGTGCTCGGACACCAGTGTGTTGCTCAGTGTACAGCAAAACAGACAGATCTGGGAACATACACTTAGATAATTCTGATTCAAATATCTCAATGTGGCTTAAAGAGATAAAAGGCCAAGTCAAAATGCTTTGATTATAAAGAATTTCATTATTATAAGCTGATACAATCTTTAGTAGAAAACGTTACCTAATCTGGCCTCCTGAATCAGGAGGCTACTAACAGGGCAATTGCCTGACTTAAAAATGTTTAATTGTGAAATCCCATTGTATGGTGAGTTCCATCTAAACTGGTGAAGGACTGCTTTTTCTGCATTGTTTTTCTACTGTAGTATTCCCAGTGAAAAATCAGTAAAGCACTTTCCTCATTATTATGGAAAGCACAACAAAGTTACTCTATCATGTAATTAAAGCTGGATGTTAATATTTCTGAATTCTAATCTTCTTCCCCAAATCTATCTAGATCATATCCATGTGCTCCAATTTTTTTTTCCCAAAGCGGGCTGTTTCCTCAGTAATAATATGAAACAATTAAAAAAACACAATGTAAGACAGAAACTTTAATCTTGAAGCTAATTTTAGAATATGTCTATTATGTCTATTATTTGTAATTTCAAAACTAAAATGAAATACTCTTAATCTGAACTGATGAGATTACTTGGGCAAAGATAAACATTTTTTGTTTTTCTTTATTTCCTTAAAGAACCAATACTACATATTGATGAGAACAAAATTCAGAATGTAATCTGCGTAGATACAAAATTGAAAACTTGGGAAAAATAAATGATATGGTGGCTCGCATTACTAAAATGGCTTCTCTGCATCTTCCCTTACCTCTCTATAGTCCCTTCTCAGCAATACAGCCAGAGTGTCTTGTTAAAGTCTAAGTCAGATCATATCACTCACTTTGCTCAAAACCCTCCAATGGTTCCCAATCTTATTCAAAATGAGAAACATAATCCTTAAGAGAGTCTTTACAGACAACATGACAGAATCTCTCATAATACTGTACTTTGCTTCCATTTCCAACCCCCAGAGCCAAACACTTCTGATCTCATCTCCTTTGTCCCCTAGACTCCCTCTACGTTACCAGTCACTGTGGTTCCTCGAGTATTTCTAGGACATCTCAGGCATCCTCTTGCCTCATGGCCTTTGGGACTGCGGCCTGGAATGCTCTTCCTTCCGATAGACACTTGGCTCATTCCCTCACCTTCTAAGAATCTTGACTCATGGCAGTCCTCTCCTCAGTGCGGCTGTCCCTGACTACGCTTTTTTTTTTTTTTTTATAACTACAACTCCCTTCCCCCTCCTGGCGCTTTATTCCCTCTTCCCTGCTCAATTTTCATCGTAGCATTTATCACCTTCGAGACACTATGCATTTACTTGCACATTTAATTATTATCGATCTCCCCAACTAGCTGTACAAGGGCAGAGGATTTTATATCTTTTATTTCATACTACATCCCCAGTACCTAGAATATGTCCATAGCAGGCATTAATTAAATAGTTGATGAATTAGTGGGAAAAAAAATTCAAAGCAGTTATAGTGAGGAAACATGATTGTTGTTCCTAAAATAAACATCTGAATTCATTAGTTTCCTACCTCATAATTAGTTTATATTTCTTAAGAGCTTAATTTACAAATGGTATTTCTTATCTAAGCTCTTTCCTGAAAACACTTTATATAGCACTATTATGAATATATGAATATGAATTTTATTTAGTGGTATCAAATAAAGTACTAATTTACTAATAAATTCATTTGTTTCCAGGCAGCAAAATCAGTAGGACATGTAAAAATCCAAGAATATCTTCCTAGCTAGGATGTGGACTGCTTGGAAATAGCCAAGCTAAATGGAAGAAAAGTGAGTCTTGCTTCACTTCTCTTCAGCCAAAACACACCTGTGCCAGCAGCCGGCTGCATGGCAGCCACTGAATGGTGGGAACTCACAAGAACACCACGGCACAGAGGACAAATGCATAAACAAGACATCGGCGATGTTAGGAAAAACAGCATCATGTGAAATTAATTAAGTGGTTATGTACTTTAGAAAATGAAATTTAATTATTCAACTAAAAGGTTTTTGATTTAAATTCCCTGGATTAAAAAAATAGATTCTAATGTTATTTTTTAACTTTATGCTTCTCAAAAGACCTGATCCATGCTAGATTTTTCAGAAATTCTGCTAGATTTCCTCATAACATTTATAAGATTAAAGGACATTCTCCCCTTACCGATTCGACGAATGCTCTTGCTTCCTCCTGAGTGCAATGGAAAGGGCTATCACGCACCTGCATGTTTGTGCTGCAAATGAAGAGACAATGTTATTATTACACAGGATAAAAAGGGAGCGATTACCAAAAACAAAGCCAACTCCAAATACTCCACACTGACAGTATGATTCTAGCTAGTGAAGAGGACCTGAATGAATGAATATAAATTAGGAAAACGGAGATTTTTGTATTTTCTTTCAGGCAAGGTTACAAGTGCGCCATAGCACTGCACTCTCCAGAATTAAAAAAAAATAGTAATAGTATGCAAATCTAGGTAATATCCTGGTGTGTATAAAAGTCTAAGCTAAAATTACACTTTACCTGTACTGAAGAAAAGGAAAAAATAAATTTGACCTGTAGAATGACAACTGTAAGGAAAAATTTTCCTCTAAATGAGGTGACAAACATGGTAACTGGCTCCTAAAAGACACTGTGGAATCTGTCTGTCAGACAGGTATGGAAAATTAAGCTAAGAGTGGTGAAAAAAAATATGAATATGAAAACTCAGTTTTCTGACAAGGAAGTTCAGTAGGGCGTAAGATGGCTGCTCCTTCCACGATCAATAAAGGCTCCCTGAAGTCGAAAGCCTCTCCACCCAACTGGGAACAGCACGTTACCTGCACAAGCATGCCACCCACTACCTGCTTCCTACTTCCTAGGTGAAAGCAAAGGCATCGTTCCTCCAAACATATTCCATCAAAGAAATCAGCAGATTAAAATAGATACAGGAGGAGGTGCGAAGAAGAGGTTAAAGCACAATTAATTTTTAAAATAGAAGGAAAAGTGATTAGCAGATTCCTAAAGGACATAAATAGTAAATGAAACACACACACACACACACACACACACACACACACACACGCTCTCAAGTGTGTCTATGGGATATACATTATCAAATTTATTTTTGCAACGGTTTGTGAAATATGTTGTGACATATATGATAAAAAGATCTATTTATTTTCTTTTTAACTACATCTGCCTATAATTGGACATTGGGTATTTAACAATTATAGTAACTGGTCAGTTTACTTTCTCCCCAGACTCAAAACATGGAATTCCTTTCCATTCTTGACATGAATAAAACTGATGAAAGTTGCCATTATCATCTTTAGGACTGAACTATTTTTTATTGTCTTCTCTATATCCTATGTTAACTAAAAATTGAAAGAAATAAAGCTTTGTAAGTGAGATGTTTCCCTAAAGAAAGTCGAAATGACATTTAAAAAAAAAAAAACAAGGCAAAAAAAGAAAGCACAGTGTACAGTAAATATACTATATACAATGTTTTTAACATTAAAACTACAAGGGCTGGGGATACAATATTGAACCACAGAGCCCCCATGGAGCTTCCAATGTTTAGGGTTCATTTTAGCTCTCACACTTGACCATGGCCTACAAGAGAAGCAGAAAAATCATTTAAAGGGAAGATGACTAAGCCGATGGTGACTACTTCAAAGGAGATTAAATATGACTAAAGAGAAGGTGTTGCTTTCATTTTTATAATAAGATACCAAATATTTTGTTGTAAATTTATAAACATTACATAGTTCATACACAATCTTGCTCACCAAAATAAGCAGACATGATATTAAAGCAACAGACAAGGAATACCAAAAATGCTGTGCACAACAAACCCTGATTGCATTTAAAAATAATAAAGCATATTAAGAGATACATAATAGTGCAAAAATAATTGATTAAATAAAAATAGGAAATTACCTGCAAATAATAAAAAGGCACATAAAAGATGAAATTTATGGCCAGCAACAAAGAACTTTAGTACAGAGAAATTATTTCTTTCAAGACAATTTCAAATCAGACAAAGACTCAGACTCATGAGAATTCCAGACAGTCTCCAGGATATAGATTTGCCCAGGCTTTTCATTCTATGGCAAAGTAGTCAAGAAAATAGGAGAGAGGCAGAGAGAGAGAAAGATAAGGATGATAGTAATTTTAGACTCTAACTCCCAGAGTTTGTAGAAGAAAAGCGACACTGAAGTAAATCTACAAAAGGTAAAAGGACTGGAGCTATCTATATAGGATTAAATCCACCTTCTTCCAGATTTTAAGACCTAAATAATTTGGAGATACATATATTTATTCAGTAAGCATAAACTGCCTACTGTGTGTCAAGTCCTGTCACTAAGTGTTAAGGTACAGTCAATTTAGAGCATACAAAAATAGTAATAAACCACCCTAAGTTCTCCACAGCGGTGTGTACAGACAGCTGTGATACAAGAGCCCAGGTGAGAGTTCAGTTAATTCTGTCCAGAAAAAAACTAAAAATTCTTTGCAAGGTGACGTCTAAGCTGCTTCTTGAAGAATGAGCAGGCACTCACAGAGGAACGACAATGAAGTACGAGGGGATGGAACGTGAGGCTGCACAAAGAGGTTTAGACACATTGTTTAATGCATTGAAGAGCTGGGTATAACCTGTAATAGAGGGGAACCACATGACGTTTTTAAAAATAAAAATGACAATCACATTTGTATTTTTCAAAGATAACTCTGACAGTACTGTATTAGAACATATTAAACAGGAGAGTAGTTGCAAAACAAAACAATTTATAATACACTGAATTAAAGCAGTGTTACAACCAGAAGGGCATCCTTTTGAGAATCAATCAAAACCTGAAAAGTGTGCATCACATTAAAGAATTTTCAGTGAAGTAAAATAACCTGGTAAAATGAACAGCATACTCTACATTTCTTAAAAATAAGACAGATAAATAAACTGTGACTGAAGAGAGAGTGAGACGCAATGAAGAGGGATCCTAAATGGCAAAAAACTGTATTTCTCTTATAATAGAAGTTAAAGTAATTTTAGGTAAGAATAGAAATGATGACATTCTGTCCATTAAAAGACTATGTAGCTTTCAGAGTAAACATTAGACAGTGGGAAAACAGAATAAAAATAACAAAACTTGTGAAAAAGATAATTACTCAGAATACCAATTGAAGAGTTTAATAAATGCAGTACTCCTGGAAACAGAAGAGCCATTACTGGATTAAAAACACAATAATATTTGTTGGCTTTAAAATATGATTCAACAGTTTACCCTAATGGGTATTTATTAAGTAGGTATTATATGCCAGGTAAGAAACAAAGATGATTAAGGCAGCTTTATTCATTTGCTCTCAAGAAACTTCTAGAGGACACAAATTCCTAAACCAACTACAGCGGTCCCCCCTTATCTGCAGGGCATATGTTCCAAGACCCCCAGTGGATGCATGAAACCACGGATAGTATCCAGCTCTGTATACACTACATTTTTTCCTATACATACATACCTACGATAAAGTTTAATTTATAAATTAAGCATAATAAGAAATTAATGCTCTGGCTGGTGTGGCTCTGTTGGCTGGAGTGTCGACCATGCAACAAAAGGTCGCAGGTTTGATTCTTGGTTGGAACACATACTTAGGCTGCAGTTCAGTCGCTGGTCCGAGTCTCTACAGGAGGCAACCAACTGGTATGACTCTCTCACGTCAGTGGGTCTCTCTCCCCCTCCCCCCCCGTCTCTCCCTCCCTTCTTCTCTCTCTAAAATCAATAAATGTATCCTCAGGCAAGAATTAATTTTTAAAAAAGATAAATTAACAATAACTAATAATAAGATAGAACAATTACAGCATTATATTCTAACATATACTCTAAACTAATAATAAAGTTATGTGAATATGGTCTCTCTCTTTCTGATAACCAATCTGACAACAGAGCAGCTACTAAGGGACTAATGGATGGATACACTGGACAAAAGGATGACTCATGTCATGGGTCGGATGGAGCAAAACAATGTAAGATTTGACCACGTTACTAAAAGCAGTGTCGATTTAATTCTTACAATTTTTTTCTAGCACTTTCCATTAATACGTCAGAGTGCAGATGACCGCAGGTAACTGAGACCATGGAAAGCAAAGCCGCAGACAAAGGGGTAATATTGCTGAATCAATCAGCTGGTGATCCAGATCTTAATGGATAAGAAGGATCTTACTGTTCTTAACAAGAAATGATGTGGTAGTTATAAATGACATAAACATATGTTTGCGTGTTGAAACATTGTTAATGTTTTTTTACTCCATCTTTGCACATTCCACAATACATTATAATAACACTATTTAAATGCCCCCACCGAAGTATAAATCCCTTGAGAAATGACACCGTGTCAATTACTAGTTTCATGGTGCCCAGCACTTAGTAATGTCTTCCAAATAGGTGCTCGATTTGCATTTTTAAGTGGAAAGAAAAAATTGTAGTTCTCTTTTAAAAAATCAGACCTGAGCAGTATTATATGGCTGTTTAGTGACAGTAATAAAATACCATTATGTAGAAAAAACAAATTCTTACCAATTTATTGCCCCTCCATCACACTTCTTCATAACCAATGCTTTCCAACATTCATGAGCAGATTTTATAACTTCAAGAGCAAAAGCCTAGTTCCAAACAAACAAACAAAAATATAAGACATGGCAATTGCATCATTGTACTAACATGGTATATAGTAACATTATACTCACTACAAGAACATGAACTATGGTGTCAGGCAAACCTGAGCAGAAATTCTGGCATCCTTAGTCACCAGCTGTTTGACTTGAGGCAAGTCCCTTGATCTCACTAAATCTTAATTTCTTCATCTATAAAATGGAATGCAATGGGGATACTTGGAATCAGGGGTTGGCAAACAAGGGCCTGTGGGCCAGATCCAGTCTGCCACCTGTTTTTGTAAATACATTTTATTAAACACAGTTTCATATTTATTCTTAATAATTCTACACAAAGTCCTCAAAATCTTAAAGATTCTTTTAATATGCCTTTAAAGAACTACTGGGTCCAGCAATAAATTCTTATACAGCAAAATACTTATTGTAAATTTTAGTTTTCATTAACATGGCTTACGTATAAACCATCATTTACTTATTAGCACCCACCTAAATGCTGGTTTACAATGTGTAATTCATATAGTGGTAAGAACTTTTAAAAAATATCCGATATTTCACACTTTAACTCTTTGGCCTATTTTCTCCATTTGTGTCATATTATGGGCACTTTATGGTATTCTAATAGAAAAATCCTATGACAACAAGATAATTCAAGTGCTTTCATAAATTAGCAGCATAATTCAGTCATGGCAGATGAGCACAGTGGAGATAAGCTCCTATCGATTTACACTAAGAATAAGTAACTGTCTCTTCTCCAGAATAGTAAACAGAAGGTTCTTCTTCCTAGAGAATTTGATGAATTAGACTCATCATGAAAATCCTTCATTTTCTGGAATGAAAGAGATATTGATAGATAAATAGATGGATATAGATATTCATCAGCCTGAAAAAATTTTTTAATAAAAATGATAAAATAATGTCCTTAAGTATAAAAGTCAGAAAAATGGCTGGTTTCATGCTACATACAAATATTCATATAAGAAACCCCCAAAGTGAAAAAGTATTTTACAGGTATTATGAGGTACATTTTAAAATAAAGATTATCATCTTCACCTTGTTTTTGAACTCTCCATTAAAAGCAAACTGGTTTTCTGGTTTTCCTTCTGGCACCTTATAAAATCTAAGCCAATTAAGTGTAGCTTCCAAATAACCTGGTTTATACTTCTTAACATCATCAATATCTGTAAGTGAAGAAACAAGAAGACTTTTTATTAAAAATCAAAATTCATTCCTACTCATGGTGGAGCACTGAACTGAGAGAGTCAAAAAACATGGGGTCTAGTATGACTCTGCTAACTAGCAGCATAATCATCAACACACCACCTCTCTCTTCTGGACTTCAGTCTGCAATGTAAATATCACTACTTTATTCTACAAACATTTCTTGAGCACTTTTAGACACTGTTAGGTACAGTGGATGAGAACAACAAAGTTCTTTTACAAGGAGCTCAGTGGTCTAATTAAAGGAAACAGGCAACAAAATGCAATGAAGTAAGAAGGCTGTGATGTGCTTAAAGCTGATGTCATTCTGTGGGCAACGGAGAACTTACAGTAGGGAAAGTTACAACATCAGGATCAGGGTTCTAGAAATACTAAGCTAAAGGAACTAAAGATAGAAAGGAGAGGGCAGCACCCAGGAGAAAACGTACTAAAGTTGGATGAGAAAGGTTTTATGAACATACATACTAAATATTTAGTAGGTTTCTCATTCATTGTGTCAGACACTGTTTTAAGCAGTGAAAGAGAAGAGTAAACGGAAACGAGTCCCTGCTCTTATGGCTCACACAGTGAGCAGAGATAGGCAACAAATAAAGAAACAAATACATAGTATGTGTATGTTAGCAGCAAAAAGTCCAATGAAGGAAAATAGCTGAGTAAGAAAGAATGCAGACAGAGCAATTTTAAACAGGGTGATATTTGGATGGTTCATAGGGTTTTTAATTTCAGAATCTGTGATGATTTACAGGATTTGTTTTTAAGTTCTCTTAGCATGTAAGCAGCTTAACCACTACATTTTGAGGACATTCATTTTAAAATAATTGGATATTAGAGTATTAATAACAGAACGCCTCCCCATAAAAGATTCCCAAAGAATATATCTGTTTCAATAAATATCAATTTAAAAAGTATGAGAAATAACCAGACAAAACTAGAAGTCTCTACTCTCCACTAGACTGTGGCTTAACGCTGAATTTAGCATAGTCCTTTATGCACAATATATTATAGCAAAAGACAACCAGACTTGGAAAGACTGAAAAATTAGAAAGTTATAACTAAAATCAGGAGAAGACAAATGAACAGGGATAATTTAAAGAGCACATGGTTTTTGACTTGCTCACCCAAGCCTCGTGGGAATCCCTTTCTCACTAGGCATTATCAGGAAAAGGTAGGCATTTTGCAGGCATGGGTTAAACAAACAGAAATCATCCTTTTGCTTTTTATGCTTGCCTTTTGCCTGTTATGGAGAGGTTTAGCAAGAGTTACATATGCCTTCTAGAGGCCAGATGTTTCACATAAATGAAATGAATGTGGCAAGGCAGACACCTCAGGAATGGCAGAGACCACAGCAAACAGAAGACAGCATACTGTCTAAAGGCTCTCAAATGTAAAATTTTAGCCCTGGCTGGTGTGGCTCAGTGGATTGAGTGCTGGCTTGTGAACTGAAAGATTGCTAGTTTGATTCCCAGTCAGGACACATACCTGGGTTGCAGGCCAGGTCCCCAGTTGTGGGCGTGGGACAGCTGATCCCTTGTACATCCATATTTCTCTCCCTCTCTTTCTCCCACCCCTCCGCCCTCTCTAAAAATAAATAAATCTTTTAAAAAAATTTAAAATTTTATAATGTGTCAATGGGCCTGTTTTTAATTACAAATGAAACTTTTTATTTTTTAAATTTTATTTATTTATAGAGAGGAAAAGGGAAGGAGAGAAACACTGATTGATGTGAGAAACATGGATGGATTGCCTCTCACACACTCCACAACCAGGGACCGAATCCACAACTAAGGCATGTGCCAGGAAATTGAACCTGAGACCTTTCGGCTTACAGGAGGGCGCTCAACCAACGGAGCCACACCCGCCAGGGCACAAAGGAAACACTTTTAATTATGCTCCACTTGATCAACTCCCTGGATAATTAACAAAAAGTTCTTTAAAAGATTCTGACTGATGTCCACAGCAGTGTGTATGCTGAGTGTAGTAGACAACTCGAAAATAAAACACGCACTTTGCTTCCTCCAGGTACTTTCAGCTTTAGCAAGCATCGGTTGTGTTTATTCCCAAAACATTTATGTCAACTTACTAAAATATTAGATAAGGCAGTCATTTTATCAGTACCAAAGAGATTTTGATTTTATAAATTAACTTGAATGTTTTGAAAGAATTTAATAAACAGGTTGCTAAAAATAACTGCTATCAAATTAGGCCTGGGTAAAAAAATAGTTAAAGATGAGAAAAAGACATAAAAATCTACACTTAGGCATATAGTTTGCTTTGCAAGTAGGGTGGGAAGATTTTAAATATGAGAGGTCAGGGACAGCCTCTGATAAAATGTATCTTAGTAAATTCCTGAATAAAGTGTGGGAGCAACTCATTCAAATATCTGAAAGAGTCGTCTTGGGAGGGAGATGGTAGGTGCCAGTATTCTGAGGTATGAGTGTGCTAAAATGTTTGAGAAAGACAGTAAGAAAGCCCTGTGTTTAGAGCCGAGTGAAGAAAGAGCATGTGAGGCGGTGAGATTAGAGGAGCAGCCACAGGCCAGTCACATAGAACTCCAAGGACTTTGTTTTTTACTTTGAAATTAGAAACCAGTAGAGGGTTCTGGGCAGAGGAACACATGTTTTTAGGACAATCTGTCTGCTGTGCAGGGGAAAGACTGTGTAGAGGAACAAGTGGAAGCAGGAAATCCAGTAAGAGTCTACTGAGGGTATCCATGGAGTTGTATGGAGGCGGTGACAAATGGTCGATTTTGGATTATCTATAAAAAGCACAACTGAGAGGATTGACCAATAGGAAAAAAAATTAAAACAAAAAAGCAATAAAGATCAGGTTTACATAGAACAAAATATCAAAGAGCTAAAAAGGACTTGTTTATAAAATTAAGTAAAAAGTCTCACCTAAATATGTATCACCCATTTTTTTTTTTTTTTAAAGCTTCATAAAAAGTATAACAACATTTGACAAATAATGTGTAGCCATGAGGTATTTTATTACGGGGCTTTTCAAATTTGAAAATTTAATTAACTAAAATTCTCTGCAGTTTCCTTAAGAGAATATTTATATTAAAATTAAAGATATGATTTATAAAAATAATCACAGATCTAAATAAACCCATTGGAAGTTTTATACATTTATGAAATGTTAGCTAAAAAAAGCAAAACAAAATAATGATGAAATAACTAATTTGAAAGTTTAGTTTTACAAAGTCCAGAGCTCTCCATTTTAATTTTTACTGACTACTTTTGATTTAGAAATTTATGAAATTAAAAAAATTGATCTAAACTGTCGTAAGTCAAACCGTATAAGTCTATCTCTGTACACATGAGGGGATCATAACACTTTCTCTTCTTTAAAAGCAGTCTTCATGACTTCTTCCTTCACCAGGGATATTGCATATCTTGTACATAATAAAGTTTCTTTTCAGTATAAACCAATTCACTTATTTCTAAAACCCAACAGAATGTTACAAATTGTGACCTACTAAGAAAAAGAAAAAAAATGGCTTCTGAATTAAAATTCTCTTTCTATTTTTTTTATATCAAAAATACACTCTTACAAGAGGGGCAGTTTCTAGTTATGTGTTTGCTAAAACTTCAAATTTTACCCAGATTTCAGAATTAAACGTACTTTAAGACAATGTTCTCTTTAAACGAGGCAAGCAAATAGTAATTATGTAAATGAGGTGAAAATCGAGTTGATACGGTTCACTTTACACATATAGCCTATGAACAATATGAGAGAAATATCTAAAGCATGAGATATTTTAAAACTAGAGACATATTAAAGCCCCAGTGAACTTTAAAATTGATTATGTACCAAAAACAAAGAAAACACTAGGAAATCAGAAGCACAGGAAAATTATGACAATATATTCGTTTAGCATAATACAGTAAATCTAAAGATCAACAATGAATATTTTATTTTTTTAATTTTTTTAAAATTAATTAATTTTTTTCAACTACATTTGTCTCTGCCTTTCCCCCACCACTTTCCAAATAACTCTCTTATCCACCAAAAAAGAACCGTATAGAGTTCCTGCTTATTAAGTTTTATTTTTGTTATAAAAGTTTTAAAACAAAAAAAGAAAAACATACTCTTGTTTAATAAGTAAGTTTTTCATCCAAAAGAAAATAAAAACTCTTAAGAATATTCTGGAAATGATGACAATAAAAACACTCAGAAAGTTTATAGAGAAATAAGGTAAACTAGAAAAAACATCCTGTTTGGAATTAGCACTAAGTCCAAATTCCAATTCTGGCATTCATATACTATTGAGTCATCTTGGAAAAATAAATTACTTTGTCTGAATCTTAAAATACAAAATGAAGAAAATGAAGGTTATTGTGAGAATTAAATAAAGGATGATTCTTAACAAACATTAATTATTAGCCATCCAATCCATGGTATGCAGCCAAAGTTAGGCTCAGAGGCAAAGTTTATCTCTCAAAAATAAGCCAACAAATGTATTAATGACTTAGTAAACTATTAAGATGTCTTCCTTAATACTGAGTTATTTTATTTTATATGCGTATACTGAAAAATCAAAGTAGCTAAACAAAGATATAAACAATGTAAACAAGCACTAAAAAATAACATATTAAAGGAATCTGGACATACACACAAACACATACACATGTACACTTATTTACAATCTTTTTCTATATATTTTTTCTTATGGTAAGGATCAAGCCTCAAATGAATTTGCAATTAGTTTCTTATTGCATGACAGATGTATTTACTTTAATTTCTAATATTACAATTCAGTTCTTATAAAGTTGTTTTTCATTTCTAATGTGTTTATTTATTTTGAGGGGGATTTTTAATTTTATTTTGATTTAATCAAATTATTAAAAACATTTTTAAACATTTGGAATAGAGAGGAAATATAGAAATAAAACTACTTTTATTTCTGAAATAAAACTACTTTTATTTCTGAAATAAAACTACTTTTATTTCTGAAATA